AAATTAAAGCTGCCAACACCTTGATCTTGGACTTCAGCCTCTAGAACTGTGAGAAAATAAACTTGTTTTTTCAAGCCACCTAGTCTGGGGTATTTATTATGGCAGCCCTGGCAGACTAATACACACTCTTTGGATGAGGTTATCATGGGCACAACAAACGATATTTAATCTGCTTAACAATTTAAAGTAAATTAAATTTTTCTTTTTAACACAAGGGTATCCCTACTCACCCCAAGCATTCTGAGTGGTTGCACTTTTGGGGGATGACAACAGGACTTAGGCCGAAGTCAACAATTCTGAATCATAAAACAAAGAAACTGAATTTCTGGAGAATTAGATACAAGAGGAGAGAATCTACCTTAGTCTCAAAAAATCTAAAACTAAGCAAAAGAATTTTTAGTCACTTCCCTGAAATTGTCAGTCAGGGAATATACTGAAAAATTTCCAACTAACAAGAGTTCAAAAGTGAATGGAAATTAAACAGCATCATTTAAATTGCATACAATGCTACTGATAGTTTTATTTAGTGACCTTGTCCTCAAACTTTAGCAGACATCATACTCTTCTGATGGACTTCTTGAAACTGGTTAACTCTCCAAGTTTTAACAAGTATTAAGCAGTTCTGGTGTAGGGCTCAAGAGTTTTCAGTTCTAACCTTTTCCCAGTGATGCTGAAGCCACTCGTCTGCAGAGCACATTTTGAGAACTACTGATTCAGTGTATGGTTGTTATTGTATTTTAATGAATCTGAAAAGTACTGGAGTGTCTCATAGATTCACTCATGGCTACTGTCTCTTTATACACACGCCGTTTATGAGAAGTTTCTGTAACTCTTAACTTCTATTTATTTGAATTCTACACTAAATTATTTCAAAATGTAATTTGTGGGGACTGGGAAAGGAGAACTATAGTAATCAAAAAGAGTCATTTAAATCAAAGTGAAATATGCCATGGACAACAGTTCTACTGAGGTTTCAACTTTCAAGTTACCAGCTATGTTATATTTAATATAGTAGATAATGTAAGAAATTTCACTGATCTAAATCTTAAGATTAGATTAAAAACTGATACAAAAATAAGTTATTTCCCCAAGTTTTGAAAAAGGTCATTTCTTTAAAAAAGAAAGTCAGAATCATAACTAGGATGAAGAAGCTTGGCTTTTAAGTAGAGTAAATACAGTAATACTCACCTGGATGTGCCTTGTAAAAGGAGTAAACTCCATGTGGTGTTTGAGAAGTTTGTTTTTCAGTGGTCAATTATACACATAAATGCAAACAACGTCACTGTTACGGCAGAGTATCATAAAATACGGAAGATACTTTATAAATGCTTTGATGATACACAGGAAGTTTCTAAACTTTCAACAGGACTTGAAAACCAATGCACAACACTAATTCTGCTGAGTAGAGAATTTAAAATCTAAATCAAAACACACTTTGAGAGCTATATCATGCAAAACCTAATTTTATAGCAGAAATAGTATCAATTCTTTGTCATTAATTTAATATCTTAGCAGTACATTGATACCTTTACAAGAAGTACTATATAATAGCTTAATATTTTCTTATTCTTCTTCCATCCAGGACTTTTCATGAGAGGCACTTATAAGGAGCATTAGTTTTGGCGACACTCTAACAAACATACACAGAGTATAATGATATATTTTACTAGGCTAACAAAGTATCATTTGTAAAGAAATTTTTATAAATTCAAAAATAGGTTGTTGGTAACATAATTACCTTTAAAAAGCATTGATTTTCATTCACAATATTACTTCATTAATCTTAAAGAGCGGTTCCATCTACAAAACATTCTACAGCTTTTTCCTTTTTGAAAAGGAGGTAAATAAATGCAGGTAAGACACTCGTAACTTCTAGTTCAACAATATCAACTTCATTTCACAGCATTGATTAGTAGAGAACATTTTCAATTATAATAGAACACAATTTACAAAAATAGAATGATTTTATAATGGGAAACACTGTCCTCCATTATGAAGAGTATGTGTGTGGTGTATGGGTTAACGTATCTATGTATATCCACATACATATTTCTTATAAGTTTCACTATTACATAGCCCTTATTCAAGTACTTTTTTCTGGTATCTCTTGAAATAATCACCTTGCTATATTATTTGTAAATACATAAAAAAAAATAAAAGGTTAACCTAAGAAAAGGTTAAAAGTTTCAGTGTGGTTGACTTAAATATCAGCCGCTCACTTCAGTGAAAACCTGATTTGAATTCAAAACAGGTTTAGGTGCCATACTAAGTTTAACAACTTAGTCAAAAATATAGATATAGTTAAGTGTCAAATAGTAGATTTCCAATGTGCTAACATTAGAGCAAAATTACAAGTTTGTATTAATCTATTTATCACCCAATCTTAAAACAATCCCCAAACAAAATCATTTATATATTATATTACTAAAATAATACACTAATATATAATATACCTGCTTACAAACACATAGGTAGCCATAAATAAAACTTTATTCTTTAATTTCATTTACAAGCTACCAAATATTATATATTATACACAGTGCTGAACACTTAAATGGCTGTAGTCATGGAGGATCCAGACTGAATGGAAAGCTACAGATTAAGAAAAGATAAAAGCAAAGTAACACTGTAACAGAAAGGTGGCAAAAGCATGGTTTTGCCATAATAAAATCAATCAGATTTGTAATTATACATCAGTTCTGGTTAAAACAAAGTCTGAGCGCCATGCGATTCTCAGCTGTATTGTTTGCAGTCTGGCTAAAGTCTGTATAGTCATTTTGTCTTTTGCAGCTATTAAAATAAAAAAAAGTTAAAAACTATAGCAGCAACAAGCAAACCCTGTGACAGGAAGGCAAGGGTTAAGAACTAAAAAAAGTTTATACAGTGTGTTTAGGGAAAGCGTGTGCAGTTTATCTTCCATCAGCAGGAGTTCGACTGAGGGACAACATGATTCGGGCAAATCGCTCACAGAGTTCATGCGTGGAGTATGAAGGTAACTTCGGTGGTTCATGGAAACCTTTAATCTCTGTAGAACAATCGAGCAGTTTTGGCAGAAAATCTGTCAGCTTCTCTTGAAGGTTTGCTGCAAATAAAAACAATTAGATGTAGTTAAAGATAGAGAGACAGGGAGAGAAATTATCTTCAACATGATTTATTAACTTGGAGTGGTCAGCTGATGTTTCATTTCAAAACAGTAAATCATTACCATTTTTAGGGAAGACGTAAAATACAAATGGCAACAGCAGTGTGCACAGCTTAGTTTGTAAATAAGAAAAAAGTAATGGTGTGCGTATAAAATTATTACAAAATATTAAAAATGGTAACATCTAATTCTAACTGCTTTTAATCCTAACAACTCAGTTGCCCACTAGCATTGTTTAAACTTACATTCCATTTCTTGTCCAAGATAGGAACACCATCGATTTCTCATATCTTCCACGGCAAGTATATCTTTCTCTTCCATTTCATCCACCAATAACAAGGGCAAAAATGGAACGATAAACTCATTCATGATAATCAGACCATTGTTTACTTCTCGATCCTCTCCAGATTCAAACAGTTCTGCAGCTTGCTCATTTAATTTCTTAATGCAATGAGAAAAAGATTAACAGGTTTGTTTCCTTTTTTAATTAAATAAAAATATCTGTAAGTGTTAATACTGAAGACAACATAATGAGTATGTTACTTAGCAAACAGTGTTAGAACAGATGGGAATCACAAAAAAACCACCTCAACCTATTCTAAGAGAAGTCTCTTAGAAAAAGCTACACATATAACAACAACTAACAGAAATAAAAGCAAAACAAAGTGGCAGGAATATGGTTGTCATGTTTTTAAAGTGCATGTTCAGTTTATATTACTTCGATCATCATTACAGGGACCATTCTTCAATTATTCTCCAGGGGTAAATTTCCCGCAATTCTAAAATTTGGTAAGCACTCAAAGTAATTTTAAAAATAAAGAAATTCAGACTTCATATTAATTTTGAAAATCTCTTCATCATCTTATCCATAAGTATCAACTGAATAGGGACTGTTATATTTGTTGATACAAAAATATAAAGGTAATCAATTCACTTAAGGAATTCCTTCAAAAAATTCTTACTGAGTACATGCCATGTGCCAGGGACTGCTCTGAATGCAGGGGCCCCCAGTGATTAATACAGAAAACTCTCATGGTACTGACAACCCCTTACAATACAGTGATCCTGTACATCTTTTTTGTAAAAGGCAACATAGGAAATATTATAAGCTTTAAGGGCTACAAAGTTTCTGTGGCAATGACTTAACTCTGACATCATTGCACAAAGGCAACCATACATAACATGTAAATGAATGGGCATGGAAATGTTTCAGTAAGACTTTATTTCTTTAAACAAGTGTTAGGCTGGAGCATAGGCCAAGTGTGCTGACACCTAATCTAGTAGAAGAGAGAAATCCATGAGAAAAGAAATATAGACATGAGACAGATAAAAAACACAGGTACAGTAAGAGGTTTATGTCTGAAATCTTACAGCATGATAAATATGATTTTTAAATAATCATAGTTTTTAGCTGGATTGCTTCAAATACAAAATTGTATTATTTATTTTATATTATGACATTCTTGTGCAATTTATCTTGACTTTGTAGAGAGGCTTATACTGAAAGTCTAATTCAGCCACTAAACAATTACCTAATCTTCAGCAAGTAAGTAATCTCTTAGCTTCAGTTTCTTCCTATCATCTCCTCTAGGGTTCTTCATTTCAATCTCTACTCCTTTCCAGTCCATCTTCTAGTATAACTGTCAAAATTATTTTCTGAAAACAAACTTAATCATGCCAAACTTAATTCAATTTTACAATGGTGCCAACTCAGAATGACATATAAGCGTCTTCACAGCCTGACAAGTATTGTTGGCTTCATCACTTCCACCTAACCCCTCGCTCCCCATAACTCGGTCACAATGGGGATTATCTTCATTTTCTGCTGTATACTTTCCATGCCTTTACATAAAATATCCTTTTGTCTAGAAAGTTCTTCTCCCTTCTCTACAAGGCATAAAACTCCTATCTGTCCACCAAGATCCAGATCAGTGTTTATCTTATCTCTTAAGTTTCTCCACAATAATTCCAGGCATATTATTTTGCATATCTCTCATAAAACTTATTCTGAAATATCAAAATAATTTGTGTACATCTCTCACCAGATTGAAATCTTTCAGAATAAATAATCGGTCTGACTTATCTCTGTGTCCCTCAGAATCTGACACTCAGTATATACTCAATATGAAAAAACCTGAAAGGAACACTAAAATAATCCTCCTAAGGTCTCATTTAAATCCCCATGTGAAATAACAAATTAAGTATGGCTGGGTTTACTAACATAAAATGATAAGAGAAGCACATTCCACAATTTTTTTAATGCCTCAGGGTAACCGTCAAGTTTCAGTTGTATTTATGTTTAAAATAGCTTTACCAGAATACTTAGTATCTCAACACTGCAATGTTTTTACATTAAAACTTGCTTCAATTCATTCAATGCAAAATTTTATATAGTTATATAATAAAACTTTATATTTTTTTAAGCTGAACTATATATAATTCAGGTCTTCCTTCTCAGGAGTTGACTAAAAACCTCTTGAAACTGACCAAATTAAGAACACCATCCTCAGTGGATTCAAACCATCAACAAATCAAGTTTTAAAATACACTCAAATGCAGTAAAATTGCTGAGAGAAAAATAAGATCACAAGCTTCTAATACTTCCATTAAAAATGTCTGAAGACATACTGCAGACTACAATTAACGTATACTATGCGGTTCTATTGAAAGAAAACATTTCACCACTACACCTTCTTAAAATTTTTTTAAAGTACACATAAACCATGTACCCTAAATAGGTTCAAATATCACACGCTCTTGTATACCTTTGTCTATATATACATACACACATATATATACCCAAATGTTAGAAAACAATTGCAATTTAGAAGTTCAGTTTATAGAGTGATGTTAGTAGTTAAATGAAATCTAATCAGAAAAAAATATAAAGGTGGAATTTTTGATTTTACACATAAAGGTTAGCTGACTCAAGAAACATTAATAAAGTACTCCAGATATCTATAGAGTAAACTGGTACCCAAAAACTGCTAAAAAGATTTTTTACAATTTATAACAACAGTAATATTTTAGCACATAGGCAGTAAAAATATTTGAGGAAGAAAACAACCAATGACTAGGTGAAAAAAAGGATACTACATTACAATGAATCCTTTAACATATGAACACCAAATATACTATTTATAAAAACTCAAAAATATCTACTATTTTTCTGTATAATAATGATAATTCATCATGCTGTTCAGCCCCTCCTCTCCTGTCAAGAAAAGGGAATGGTAGTATGATGAAGAAATCTAAATGTAAAAATGTAACTATTCTGATACCATTTTAAGAACATTTCTGGTTTACTATCTGTAAAACTTAAGATCCTCAAAGAAGAAGGGATAAAGAATTGAGTGTATTCTCCCATCTCAAGGGAGCAGACCCATATTACAGACATCACTGTGATGCTTACCCCATCAGAATTCATAGTTAATCACTTATATGTGAGTCTGGAGAAATGTCCAATGTAAGACAAAATGATAAACACATACTATGTACATTCAACTTACTAGTAAACATTCTCTTCTATAATGTGATATTAGTTCTTCATCATGTCCTCTGTATGGGCCTTTGGACAAGAGTTCTTTGTTATTCTGATATGCACAGATAAGGAACAGCAAGGAATCTATATAACTTTTCAAAAATTAAAAAAAAGTATAGAATCAGTATTTCATCTTTAAAAAAAAACCCAACTACAATTATAAAACATTTTAAGTGTACATTTAATTTTGATTATCCAGAACATTACAACAAAAAAATCATCTGATACACTGTATGCTCAGAGCATCTTTTGACCAATGACTATATCTGAAACCAGTTGACAGTTATGTCTTAAAAGTAAAAAAAACAAACAAAAAAAAAAACAAACAAAAAACATCAACCCCACCCCCCAAGTAAAGCTAGGAATTAAGAAAAGACTGGGAGAAAAAAGGCCATAATTGACTAATTCAGAAAGTTCCTTCTGTCTTCTTTAGTATTTATTTTCCCAACGCCTTCCATTTGGACTCAAAATTAAGACTGATATGAAAGTCAACAAACTACGTTTTTAACAACATAATGCCATTTTTGTTTGAGGGAAAAACTGGGTTACTTTGTTTCTTTATCACAAACATCATTTGATTCATTACGTGACTATTTTTCACTCAGATTTTTTCCTATGTGCAGGCACAGCTCTAGTCACTGAGAAAAATGTAACAGAGCGGAGAACATTCAAAGGAGACAGGGAAAGGAGAAAGGGAAAAAAATGCTTCTAAGTCTGGAGAATCTAGTGGGATACAAACAAAAGAAAATACTAACATGAAAGGAAAATGCAGGGTTAGGCCTTTGTTTTATATTCAAAGAATATTAATACGTTATATCAACATAAGTCTAGACCTTATAATGCTCAAACGTGGTTTTAAAAAGGGAGGAGGGGATGTTTGAGTACTGTATTTGCCTCTAAAATAATTATTCTTCTTCTAACATGCTGTAGGAAAAATACATACAGCTATATATTTGTATAGCTGAAATAGGAAAGATATTTTAAGATATCTTTTTTGTGTCAGTTTTTCCAAAAACAGCATATCTTCTCATAAATTCAGAAAAATATAACATCCTAAAAAATGAAATATTATACAGAAAACAATATTTTAGAACTCTAGGTTATACTGTCAGTTAGTGTTGCTGTTTATTATTTAATTTCAGGTGCTCAGATACAAGTTAGTTTTATGGTTCAAATGTTAAATGTAGAATTACATGGAAATTAATGGACACATTCATGACAAATTATATACCTGAAAATAAGTTCTTTTAAACAATTTTTGAAAATGGCTTTTCCTAGGAATTTGTTTTTGAAAAAAACCTAAGGATATGAATTTTATTTTGAAATAATATGGGCATAATTTCAACTAAAGCTTTCTGTTTGTTTTATTTGTAAAAGAAAAAGAAAGAAGAGAGTGATAATAATATTAAGCATTGTTTCATGCCACCAAGTTGAGGTAGTTTGCTGGCACGTCCACCTTTTCTTTTATATCTATTAAGTTTCCTGCTAAAAAGGTCTCCCCTGAATGACATTCATATCTGGCTTTCCAGACCTGAGTCATCTCTCTGGGAATAGTTCCGAAATCATGACCTTGTTCCAATTTTCTAGTGAGGTACACAAAATGTTCCACATTTTACCAAGCTTTAAAGTGCTTACAAATACATTTTCAAGTAAGTCAAAATAAAATCCAGCAGTCCAGTCACCAAATTCTGATTTATCTTCCATTTATACTACTGTAAAATCTTGGTTCCTAAAAACATGATTGCATTTCACTACTCACAGAAGTAACAATGGCCCGTCAATAAATATTCAATTCATGGCTTTCAAGTGTTATGTTTTCATGAAAAACAAGTCTGACAGAATTTTTTGGCAATGTTTTATACAGTTAGCTAGGGTAACTGTCATAGTTAAAGTGGTAAAATTAACGTTTCTTTTCATGATATTCCATAAAGACTGTCACCATTACTAATTTTCAAGTTGATCTTTCTAACTTAATAAACATTTGCTATACTAAAAGTATTCACTTTCTAAACAAGAATATATTTGAGAATAAGCATATTATGAAATTTAAACATAATTCTAAGTTATACTGAAGTCCTTTGGCGAATGTCAACTAAGAGCAGCTAATGTAGAAGCTATGCAGAAAGCAAGAAAGTGAGTTCCAACTTTTTAATTCTTACTGAGATGATGAATACTTTTTATCCTTATCTGATTTCATTAAATTATACAAGAATATACAAGCCTCTATTTTAATTTTTTCTCTCCCTAGTTAGTTGTGTGAACTTGACAGATTACCGCATCTCTGCAGAGACCACTTTTCTGTTTTTTTTCTTTCTATAAAATGGAAATGCTTTTTAGGCACTCTATTCAATTGTAAGATGTTAGTATTTTCTCAGAAACATTAATCCCCAAAATTCCTTAGCAAATTGGAATATTCCTACTAAAGAAATAAAACTTTGATCAAAATATTAATTTATAAAATGGAGCTACTGATCAAAATAGTTTTCTACTTCAGTGACCAAAGCAAATTATTTTGTAAATTACAGACTAGAACTTAATTAATTACAACATTAAAATTTAAAAAGCAGACATTCTTTTAAAACCTTCTATAATGTGTATGAAAAGTAATCTAAAGTATTTACAGTCACAATATTTAGTAGACAAATGATAAGTTTTCTACAGCTATTTTTCTTATTTTTACAGTACCTGGAAGTTCAGACAAAGACATTAGAAACACTATGTCTGATCTGAAGTCAGATTAAACTCAGAAAGATTAGCAAAAAGGCTAGTGACTGAAGGCAGATGCTGGAGAATACAGAGAATTCTATTTGCTAGGTTAGCAGCTTCTCTGGTCCCTGGCAAACTTCTAGGTTTCAATCTAATCCTATTCCATCCTAACTTTCAGCTGTAGTGCTTGACAGCTGATAAAAACAATGATACTAATGCCAACCTTACAGATTCAATTTAAAGTAGAAAATATATCATATGTGGGGTATATGGAAACTTTTTGTATTAACTCTGCAATTTCCCTGTAAATCTAACACTGTTCTAAAATAAAAAAAGGTTAGAATATATACCATGAATAAAATCTTTTCTATAGATGAGGTCACATCTGAATAGAATCAAGTACAAAAATTAAGCTCTTCTTTTCATGTCTGTCCATTTTGCCTTACCTTTCTCTTTGAAAATTTTCTAGCCCAATTATGAGATACATGGTTGTTTCCCTGAATTTCCTATAATCCTGATGCCACTCCTGTAGGTGAAAGAAAACATTAAAGGAATATAGAGTAAGATATTAAAACTACAATGACAATGGCTCATAAAGTTAATACACTGTTCTAACAACGATTTGAATGAACAGAATCAAAGAGTTTAAAATTACACTAGACCTAAATCAAGATTTCAATTTCTGACATACAAAACTGTTTACCAGTATAATAATAAATGAAAAATTATTAGACATTGATGAGGAATTAAACAATGAAGATCTCACTAGAAGATAAGAGAAATACAAAGGCAAGATAATCAATCAGGTAGGTCATCTCTCAGAAATTCTTCAGTGTGAGAGCTTACTATTAAAATATTATTACAGATCACTGGGGTGCACCCATCTTTTAGAATTAGTGTTTTTGGGTTTTTTTCAGATGTATACCCAGGAATGGAACTGCTGGATTATATGGTAGTTCTATTTTTAATTTTTTGAGGAAACTTCATACTATTATCAGCAGGGAGACGCAATGGGGGAGGGACAAGATAGGAGTATGGAATTCAGAGACAAAACCTACTATGTATAAAAAAGATAAGCAGCAAGTATATACTGTATAGCATAGGAAACTACAGTCATTATCTTGTAATGACTTTTAATGGAGTATAATCTGCAAACATACTGAATCACTATGCTGTACATCGAAACTCATACAATGCAAAACAAATACAGTTAAATTTAAAAATACTGTTATGGATCTACATCACATAGAATGCAGAAGGGAAATGAAGCTACTACTTTAATATGAAACAAAGCTTGAAAACTGTTATTTGAAGCAGAATTTTAAGGAACTAAAAGAAAAAGAAAAATGTTATATAATAATGAATTTATTTAATCGTTTGATTTTGCCAAATTTCTGTTAAATTTTAAATGTGGTAGCTGAATATTCTTTTCATCTGAAATGTAGTGAAAGACAGATGCATTTCACATTTCATAGCCCCTTCCTCCAAAAAACCCAAATTAGTGGGCAAGTAATAGGACTAAATGATTCAGAACAGACATCCTGTAACTCTACAAAACAATAAAAATCAGGATTTTTTTTAACTTACTGAATAAAAATTGATTCAAGGAAAATCATAAGTAAAATTCAATACAGGACTAACTTAAAAGACATTGATAATAAAAGTGTGACAGCTTTTATATATATATTATAAGCAAATGAAAGTAAGAAACATATAGACCAGTTACTAGCCAACTATATTCTATACTTTCCCTGCACTTAAATCATTTTAATTTTTAATTTTGAAAGGCATAATTTTCATACTATTAGTAGAGCTTATTAACAAAGGCAAAATTTGTCTTACAAGTCTAAATTTAGCTTTTCTGGGGAAAGTATTTAAATTGCCACCTTGTTATCATTGTTATCACCTTAGAAATTGTGAATAGGTAAACATTTTCTATAAAGGGCTAGATGGTAAATGTCTTAGGCTTTGCAGGCCATTCAGTTTCTACTGTAGTTACTTGACTCTGCAGTTGTAAAACCTTTATATGCAATACATAAACAAATGGCTTATGTTCCAATAAAACTTTATTTATAAAAGCACGTGGTGGTGAGCTGGATTTGGTCTGAGGGCCAAGGTTTGCTGACATGTGACTTAGAGCAAGACAAGTATATATGGGATATATAGGATATATATGGGATATACAGAATCAAAAAACATGTCATGTAAATACCTATAATATTTAATGGCTCTGCAGTTAGAAAAGATGTGAGAAGTTTCAGAATAAAAATATGCTGAATCCAATCTGATGAGCAAACTTGTGAAGGGACTGCAGAATCAAATCACAATAAAAATCAAGTCCCATGTAACTTGGATCTTGGGGACAAGGGTAGAGTTAGCAACCAATTTGCTTGTTGTCTCTAGTGTGTATTGTGTATCCAATTACTTCTGGCTATGTTCTTAGATTTTTTTATGCTGTTTTATTGTTCAAATTTACCTATGCTATGCTAGTATTATTAAAAAGCATAAAGGTTAAGATAGTATGTTTTGATTTTAAGCAGAAAAAAGCCTTTCTACCTTGTTCGTCAAGAATGTCAGGCCTAGAGTGAGATCCTCTGCACATCCCAAAAAATTCCTGAATCAGCTTACTAACTCCCATAAAACAACTTGCTAGAAGTTTGACAGAAACTGCACTGAATTAATAAACCATTTGGGGGAAAACTGACATCTTTACAACACCAAGTTTTCCAAACATGATACATATATCCATTTGCTTAGGTCTTCCTTAATGCCTCCTAAAGTCAAGCACATTTTACGCTAAGTTTACTTCTAGGTTTTCCATAGTTTTGAATACTATTGAAAACAGTATCATTCTTAAAAAATCCTATTTGATTATTTGTTACTGATATAAAGGAATAAAATTGATATTTGACATAGATTTGCATGGTACAAAGCTCTCTTATTAGTTCCAATACGTTTATCTGTAAATTTTGTTTGTGTCTTCTAGATATAAAACCTGCAAATAATAACTGTTCCTTCTTTTCCAGTCTTACTTTCTGCTTTATTTTCATTGCCTAACTGTCCCATTTGAACTTCCAGTACAATTCTGAATAGACACGGTGATGGCAGGCATCCCTGTCTTTTTCCTGATCACAAAAGGAAAGCTTTCAATGTTCACATTTCTACATGATATTTAGTTTTGTTTAGGTAGTTTTGTTACTTTTGTTTTTCAAGACACTCTTTAAGCAGATTAAAGTAGTTACCAGGTTAGATAAGAGTTATGACCAAAAATGAATGTTTTCTGTATCCTTTCTTTTATCTGATAATGTGGCGAATTACACTAATTGTTTAAGGGAATCTGAAGCATTAAGTTTGTAAATGGGACCAAACATTAATCAAAGTCACTCATGAAAATAAGTTAAAATTTACCAGATTTTAAAATAAAGGAAAGACAATGGATAATGTTAAATTTAAAACTTTGAAAAAGTACCAGGTATCTAAATTGTTAACTTTAAAAAAATACTAATTTTTAAGCCAAAGTTAACACAAAGAGAATTTTGTGCACAAAAAATTACAAGCATAATATGAGTACTCATGTGTGTGTGCTCTCTCACATACAAAACTGTTCAATAATGACAAATATATATGGCATACAATAGTTAAAATGAATTTCTAACTTCCCCCCAAAATACCTGATGAAGCAAACAAAGAAAAAATATAGCAGAGATTTAGCATAGTAGAGCATTTTAAGAATGCAGATTCTATTAACCAAGATAAAACCTGCTAGCTATGAACCCTTACATTTCCCTGTGTTGAATTTTCGCATGTGCTTAGTCATTCTGAAATGAAAGATTGATGAACTATAGAATTTCTCAGTCTATAGTTCAGTCTCTCAAAAGGCACATTACCTCATATTCCTCCAAGTTTACTTCTTCCGGTTTTATCATTTCAATTTTGGCTTGAGCAACTTTCATTATGTTGTGACACCTTTAATAAAAGAAACGTATTTCTAAATCAAGAGTAAAAGCCATAAAAACTGAAGAATGTGTATTATACAAAACTAAACTACTCAACACTTGTAAAAATGAAATCCACTGTCACAGAGCAATATTTTTTTGAGGAAAATAACTCCCAAATAACGTAAGTGAAAAATGTGTTTTTAGACCACAATGTTGGATAGTTACAAATATATAAAGATAATTCAAATTCTCCATGTTATATTTACATATGGCTTTTGAATTATATTCTATTAATAAAGATGGCATACATAAAAAAATGAAAATTTTTTATAATATCTATCTATTAAGCAAGTTCAAGAGCCATAAAATCTTTTTTCTCCCAAATGGTATTATTCATAAATAGTAAAAAGGAACCTAAAATGTGCCTATCATTTCAGGTAAGAATGGGAACATTCCATTAGATTTTATGATCAGAACCATTGCTAAAGAAATCTCCCCAAAATATCTTTAGTTATCACACATTTTATTCTGTATTTCATGCACAAGAGAAATGAAATCTATCAAAATACACTGACTATTTGCAGTCACCAGGCAAATAACTTCAAAAGACTGAAAAGTCAATGTGAGTACTCTATAAATATCTTCCTCAACTTCAATAGTATAGTCATTAGAACATAGTACACTGATAGCCTAGATGAGGGTCATAATCTGTCATATTTCTGAGCTCTTCATAGCCACATGTAACAAAGTAAATGATGCCAATACTATCACTAATAAAAGTAGTAATAGCCAATACTGTGAGCAACTACTGTCTACCAGATAGCATTGAAAACCATTACTTGTGTTATTTTACTTAACCCTAAATTTCACAGTAGACACATGGTGAGGCAGAAATTAATCCTAGATGGTTTGTTTTTCTTCATACTCTCTTCTACTACCTATATTTCTAATTCAGTATTTTTGAGACACTCATCAAAGGATAATCATTTATTTCAGAATTACAATGTGTTTACAAAGACCAAGATAGCATAAATGTTTCTATATTCTAAAATAACTTTTCAATACTTTGGATCTTTACCAGAGGCTTAAAATTTTTTAATGGTATTGATTCTAACAGATTAAATTTTAATCTTTAACATTAGTAATTAGCTTTATAGGAGTTTCTAAAAGAAAATATATTTTGGTATTAACCATTCTAAGCCCTCTCTTTATGTCAGAGGATATTTATTTCATTTATATATATGATTAATTACTTTTCTCCAATGACCCTCTAACAAAGATGATTTTGCTCCCTCGAGGGATATCTGGCAGTATCTGGAGACATCCTGAGTTGTCACCATTTGGAAAGTACTACTGGCATTTAGTGAGCAGAGGCCACGAGTATTGTTTAATATCCTACAAATTAAAGGACAGGCCCCCAAAACAAAGAATCATTTGACCCAAAATATCCACAGTGCAGAGTTTAAGAAGATCTTTACTTCCCTAAAGGTCCCCAAGGTCAGTGACTGTATTACACTCTTCTGAGCATCCTTATATTGCTTAGCTTAGCACCTTGGTTCACAATTAAGATGTACTAAAATTGTCTAAATTATTTTTAGTTCAGACTTTTAAAGGTCATGATCATAAACTCCAGATAAGTTACAAAACAACTGTTCGAATTAAATGAAGTCAGATTTTGTGCTTTATTTATTGAAATATGTCTGTGTCTGTGTAAAATAAATATTCAAAAATTGCGCTGGGAACCACAAAAAAGACAAGGACAATGTGAGCATATGAATTAGGTATTTAACATTTTCAAATTACCTTTCATCAAAACTCAAATTTCTATCTCCAAATTGTTCTAGCAATGTTTTCTCAATGATTTTCTTTGGTGCCTGATTCTGGATAAAGTAGACTACTACATGATGTAAACGATAGTCTGTTTCTGGTGGGGTATCTTCTTGGGCCAATTTAACCAACCTTGAATATTCCAACTTAATTGCCTAGAAAATAACAAAATGCCAATTTGGGTTAATTATAATAATCAAAATCCTTCAATATTATAACTTAATATTCTTACATTCAAACTTTTTTTTCTTTTTAAAGAACTAGACACAAGGTAGTACATCTAAGAATACTGTCCTATGTTCCATAGTTTTAATACATCCAAGTTCATGATGTGGGAAATTTTGTAAAACTTAACAGAGCCTGGTTAAAGTCTATTCAGAAGCATCATAAGACTGAAGTACAACTTATCTCCTATCTAGTATATCTCTAATATCCCTAATTCTAGGGCTGAAAGACAGTTCCCTAGAATACTCACGTCTAGAAGAAAATGGCTGGCTCTTGAATGCATAATAATATCACCACAATTAACTTTTAGCTGTGCAGTTCACAAATAAGGGGTGAAAAAGCAAGCTTTGTAGTTACCATAAAATAAAATTTTTATTTTTTCAAAAATATTTGAACTTTACGTGTAATTATTAATGAATATTATCACTATTACTACCTTGATATTTGAACTTACTTTTTATTTATAAGTAGAAAACACCTTAGAGTTCAAACTAATATTATAATGGATTATAATAAATACTAATGCATGTTTCCATACATGAGCAAATGACTTAAAAAATATTTGCTCATAGAGAAATATGTGCAGACTTATACATCATACGCTGCTGTGTAAGAAGCCCATATTATTAAAGGTAACATTTTAAAAATATTCATTTATATTAGACACATCTAAATTCTAGCTTCATTAACCACAAAAGATTTGGGGCTACATACAAAATATATTACAAAAAGTCCATTCTATTGGAAAGGTTTTTTTCTTCTTCTTTATTGCATGTCTTTCTTAAGCAACTCTTGGCCCTCCAGATCCTACCACCTATGTGACTGTATTTTATAGAAGAAAATGTAACTGAAAAACATTAAGTGAAATATTTTAGTTATACTTATATTTCATTAAAGAGGAGGCAAATAAATCCTATTTAGCTTAGTATTATAAATAGAATAAGATAATTACTCTACAGATAAAATAAATTATTCCAATTTTCTTTGAATATACACATTCTTAAGTCTTACTGTTGTGGTTTAAAATAGCCATGAAAATTTAACGATATTTTGACATGTAAGATGATCACGACTACATGCTTCATTTATAAACTCTTTAGAATCTTCCTATTTTCTCAATTTGATAAAAGGCACATGTTCATTTAATAACCAAACGATACTGAATTTGAGAATAAATGTAAAATAAAAACAATCAAGAACTGTTCTTCCTTATTATGCCCCTTAGACAATGACTGTCATCAACTATTACAAGGTTTTTAAATATTTAAACATTTCAGATGTCACGCTTCTGGCCACAATTAGTATGACCAAAATAAAACAAATTTGTCTCTTAAATAATACTTAAGACTTAGACATAAAGACTTACAACACCAATGGCTATCCATTCTCCCATCTGCTTTCAAAATAGAGGCCATGATTTGTTTTTATAAATAGCAACAGATTTCTATTAGAGAGCTGGAATATAGATCTTCTTTTACTCTAAGACTATGTTTACCTCTTGATTTTGCCCTATTTAAGATTCTCCTAATTTTAGTAAGTAAATACCAAAGTCACAACCTATAAGTATTTTATTAAACCAGCAGAGGTAGAAAGGCACTTCTGAATTTCTAGGAGTAATTTTTCGAACACAAGATACCACATTTTTCCTTTTGTTTATGAACTTCCTTCTCAAGAAATTTTCTGACTTAAAAAATACTGCAATATTATCTATTCCTTCAAATTTTCAACAGATGTTCCACACTGGTATATTTAGGAGAACTCTACATAATCTACTGTTAGGAGTAAAGTTAACCCTGCAGAGCTGCTATATTTGCCCTGTACTACATTCTCAGACTCGTGTTCTAGAATTATTTTTGTTCCATATTTTTTGGCTGCCTATGAAGGTAACTATTTCAACTGTTACAGATACTGCAATGGAACCACACATATTTGCAAAATGAAATGTGATACTGGCCATTAGGTGATGGAGCTGCTTCATATTTAATTTTTTATTTCTTTTTCACCAGGCCGTTAACATAGTCCTACTAATCAGGCCCAAAGTTACCTATTTGCTCTTATTTCTTGTAACTCTTCCACCGAGGTCAAGTTCATCTCCCACAAATGCACACGTGCCTTTGTTTCTTAAGTTTTCTATGCCCATTAAGCCACACAGGACCCATTCAGTGGGACCAGCTGAAGTCTTCCTCTGCTGAACTCTTTCAAATGATTTCTACCCAGACTTTTTCTACTTTTCTAAATCATAAAACATACTCCAAATTTATAACCTCTTAGACTATTTTGATGTAAGTAAATTCATACATTAGAAAATATCAAATATACGTATGTACAGTATACTCTGGAGGCAGTAGATCTAAGGGAAAATCAGCTAGAGTAAAATCCAGAAAGCTAGACGTATCATTTACTAACTGTGACATAAAATATGTCAGAAAGTTCTCCAAATCTTAATGATCTTACCTCTAAAATAAGGTTAGGTGAGTTGAGAGAGAAGAGACAGAGAGACAGAGAGAGAGAGACAGAGAATATAGTTCTTAAACGTTTATGGACTACATTTTAAAAGCTGACAGTGTATCAAGAGATGAAGAAAATCTACTTCAAATTCCAGAGGATCAGAATCATACAGGGTATATTCTTTGACCACAGTGTAATACAAATAGGAATGAAACACTTAGGAATTTAAAAATTCTTGGTTCAGAGGAATCAAAATTATATTAATATTGGGAATATGAGATTTCAAAACCTACAGGACACAGTCAGATTGGTAGTAAAAAGAAAATTATAACTTGAACAATATAGAATAAAATTTATTTCAAGAAGCTAGAAAAAGAAAATAAACAAAAATAAAGGAGAAGAAATAAAATAGTGTGTCAACTGGATTAAAGAATACCATAGGCTTTTTCTTTTCAAAAAGCAGAATAAAAGACCAAAAAATTGGAGCAAATAACATCAGAAATAAGAAAGGTGATATCAGAAATACAGCAGAAAAGTTTTAAAATTTAGAAAAGAATAATGCATATAACTTTATGCCAATAAACTATAAGATCTTTATTAAAAAATCATCTAGGAAAATACAAGTTACCAGAATTATTTTAAGAGGCAGAAAAACTGAAAAGACCTAGCAAGACTAGAGTTAACTGAAAAGACTGCCTAAGATCTACATGCAACAAAGGATTCAGGACCATATTGTTATACAGCTGTGCTGTTATGTCAAATCTTCAAAGATCAGATGATTTCTAAGCTATCTGAACTGCTCCAGAGTCTAAAAAAGGGGAAAAGTCTCCTTAAAGATTTATGAGACTAGTATAATCTGAATATCAAAAATTGACCAATATTAAAACAAGAAACTATAGATCAATTTTGTTTATGAACATAGATGCTAAGACCTAAGTCCATTTTTGATAAACTACCTTGTGTACAAAAAGAATATACAGGAACAGATAGTGTTTACAATGATTAAAAAAAAACAAGAAAGACGAATGTAAGAACTTTACTTTCCAAGGATTAAAGATTAAGAAGAAACCTGTTCAGTATCTGAAACAGATGCATTTTAAAAAAAAATCGAAATTCCAACACCGATCAGCTTACGCTAAACTCTGACCTGTAAATTTAAAAAAAGTGTTTTTAAGGAGGATCTATAAAAAAACCAATACTAAAAGTTCCATTAGTAATAAAACACTAGAAAGATTCCCTTTAAACTCAGGACCTAAACATAAGAGTTTACTACCATTATTTTAATATTTAACTATATTCTGAAAAGTCTGGTCAACATAATAAAACCAGAAATAAAATAAGAAATAAATATAATGGAAATTATCCCAATAATGAGATAACTATTGGGAGGCAGTTTACTGAAATAATCAAGAGAATGAACTAAAAAATTGTTAGAAAAAATAAAGGATTCAATAAGGTAAATGGATACGACGTAAATAAATAAAATTAGTTCTCCCACCAATTTGATATTAAAAGAGAGGATAAATGACTCAATTCAGAGAAACAAATAATTTTTATACATCTAAGATTAAATTACATGTTGAGATGTTGAGAGCATTATGAAGTAAAACTACAGCCTTATTAAAGGACATTAACAGAGGACCAAAAAAGTGAAGAGGTATATCATGTTTCTTTCTGGGAGGACTCAAAATACTGAAAAATATAATTAGCCACCTCACCATAACTTAATATATAATATAATGGAAGTACAATCAAATTCTGAAAGGATTTGGAGAGGCAGGTGGTAACTGGTTCTAAAAATTATCAAAAAAGAAAAAATGAGATTTGCCAAATTTTCCATTTACAAAAGAAGAAAAATAAAGTGGTTTTCCTAAAAAAGTCGAAGTATATTACAAATGTCCTATAATGTAAATAGGTGTAGTGTTTAAATAGAAAAATAATCAGTAGAATAGAGAGACCCAAAGAGATTCACTTATAAATAGGATTTAATATATGATAAAGACAGTATTTTAAGTCAGGATGCAGAGAATACATCAGTCAAAATGTTATGTTTGGACTATTTGGATATTTCTCTATTTGAAGAAAACTGAAATCCTATTATCTAGGAATTAAAAATTAAAATCATGAAACTACTAGAATTAAAAAATTGCATAATTTTCGATGTGATCACATAACCTCCGATCTATTAAAAAACTGTTGTATTTTATAAGATTAAAAAAATTCTGTACAGTTAAGACACCAAAAACAAATTTGAAGATAAATGACAAACCACAAAATACAATCTGTAAATTACAGATGAATCAAATTTCTTAGCAGATCAAATGTTCAACCTAATGAAAAAACCCAATATAAAAAATGTGCAAAGATGGATAGAGTTAACATAAAGAAATACCAATTGCCAAAAAATTTATAAAGATACTCAGCCTCACTAAAGATCAAAGATACATAAAATAATGGGATTACCCTTTTTACGTCATTTTGT